AACATCACTAGTCACTAGGGAAATGCAAATTAAAACTAAACTAAGATATCACTTCATACTCACTAGAATGGCTATCATAAAAAGATGGACACAACCAAGTATTGATGAGGATGTAAAGAAACTGGACCTCTCAGTGCTGGTGGAAATTTAGAATGGAACAGTTCCTTTGGAATCATTTTGGCAGTTTCTTAAGAAGTCAAACATGTATAGACCATATGACCCAACAATTCCATTCTTAAGTATCTACCCAAGAGGAATGAATATGTGTACGTCTTTATGTACACATATGTTCAGAGCAGCATTATTCATAGTATCCCCAAAGTGGAAACAACCCAAAAGCCCATCACTGGGGAGAGGACCAGTAAAATGTGGACTATCCATACAGTAGAATGTCATTTAGCAATAAAAAGGATAAAACTACTGATACACATTACATCATAAAAAAAACTTCAAAAACATGCTAATTGAAAGAAAACAGGTGCAAAAGACCTCATATGGTATGGTTCCATTCACATGAAAAGCCCAAAAAGGTAATCTATAAGACATAAAACAGATTAGAAGTTGTTTGGGTTTGGAGGTAGGAACAGGGATGGTCTGTAAAAAGGTATTTGAGGAGGTAATGGAAATGCTCCAAAACCAGATTATGGTAATGTCTGTGCAACCACGTACATTATTAAATAAAAGTCATTGGGGCTGGGGATGTGGCTCAAGCGGTAGCGCGCTCGCCTGGCATGCATGCGGCCCGGGGTTCGATCCTCAGCACCACATACAAACAAAGATGTTGTGTCTGCCGAAAACTAAAATATATATATTAAAAAATTCTCTCTCTCTCACTCTTTCTTTAAAAAAATTTTTTTTAAAGTCATTGAATTATGTGTGAATTTGTAGGTATGCAAGTTATACCTAAGTAAAGCAGTTTTTTGGTACCAGGGATTGAACTCAGGGGCACTCAGCCACTGAGCCACATCCCCAGTCTTATTTTGTATTTTAGTTAGTTGTTGTTGTATTTTTTTTTTTTTTTTAATGTGATGCTGGGAAACGAACCCAGTGCCTCATGCATGTTAGGCAAGTGCTCTACCACTGAGCTACATCCCAGTCCTTGTGTTTTATTAAGAGACAGGGTCTCACTGAGTTGCTTAGTGGCTTGCTTTTGCTGAGACTGGCTTTGAACTGCCTCAGCCACCTGAGCTGCTGGGATTACAGGTGTGCGCCACCATGCCTGGCTGTAAAGCAGTTTTTTTAAAAAATATTTATTTAGTTGTAGATGAGCACAAAGTATCTTTATTTATTTTTATGTGGTTCTGAGGATTGAACCCAATGCCTCACACATGGGAGGCAAGCACTTTACCACTGAGCTACAGCCTCAGCCCCAAGCAGTTTTTTTTTTTAAAAACAAAACCTGGTACATAAGAACATGAGCATCATTTGAAAAAGAGGTGAGCACAAAAGGTGATGTCATGTTTCCAAAGAGCAAAGGCACACAGAATGGCTATGGGCAGCCCAGCCTGAAGCCCTGAGATCAGCTTCCCAGCCTTTCCATCTCTGCTAAGCAACTACTTCTAGAAATGGAAATGAATGTGCCCAACCTTCTGCCAAATAAAAGTGTATTCAATGTGGCATCAGGCACATAACTCCCTAAAGACAGATCTCAAAGCACCTTGGTTTTCATATCTTCACAATCACACAAATATCTGGCTACATGTTCAGGCAGTAGAATGTAAGCTGTACCCCTGACTGACAGAACTTTATAAAGTTCACTCTGGCTACATTATATCTATGTGTGTTTTACCAAAATCTTTCCAAAATGATCAATGATTTTATCAGATTGTCTCCAGAAACGTCTGGAGTCATAAAACCTAGGCTCCCCGATTCCAGTGTTATCCCAATCCACATGCAAGAGACAACTAAGCAAACTCTCCTTAAAAGTCACCCAATTTACTTTGACATTCTGTTTTAATGTTTAATCGCCATTAACTGCAAGCTGTTCATTCTGCTGATCCAAACCATTTTTCTATTTGCCCTATTTCCACTCCATCTGGAGCGGAAAAAATAACTGTCTCCTTACTTTCAGAAAGAGGATAACATTTAAGTATAACCATTAATGGTATCTTCCAAGGTTTACATCCCTTCAGCATTTACTCTTTGGTACTATTTTCTAGCCTTCAAGTTATCTCAGGTCCCTTTCAAAATTCTTCTGAAGAGTGGTTACCAGCACTCAGGAAGGGTGTGAAAAAGGAGGAATGGAGCTTTAAAGGAAGGGTAGAAAGTATAGAGATGCAGCAGGATAGAAAGAATAACTTCCAATGTTCTATAGCACAGTAGGTAACTATAGTTGACAACTACTAATTGAATATTTCAAAATAGGTAGTACAGAGGATTTTGAATGTTCCCAACACAAAGAAATGATGCTTGAGGTTATGAACATGCCAATTACCCTGATCTGTTCATACATATTGTATACATGTATTGAAATGTCACACTGTACCCATAAAAGCATACAATTACTATGTGCCAATTAAAAATATTTTTAAAAAAATTTTTAGCTATAGATGGACATAATACTTTTATTTTATTTATTTATTTTATTTATTTATTTTATGTGGTGCTGATGATCAAATCCAGTGCACCTCACGTGTGCTACGCAAATACTCTACACCACTGAGCTACAACCCCAGCCCCCCAATTAAAAATATTTTTAAAAAATAAAATAAAATAAAATTCTTTTGAATGCTGTAATTTTTCACACCTTCCAAGCATGATAACCAATATTGGGCACTGAATTCTAATGTAATTTAGAGACGTTAGTTGTCAAATCCTGTAGAATAAATTAATTCCTAACAATCAAAACACCTAGGAAGAATGGTGCCAAAGTGTGCTTAGAATTACTATGAATATTAAAGGAATTCCTGGGTATTTCAGAAGGGAGTATTTTCCAGAAGGAGAATACATAGTGGAATTATAACTGAATTCACTACATAGTATTGTAACACTAGAATTATAACACTACTTAACATTTATTATAACACTAAGTCTTTTAGAAGACAAAAATATTTCAAAGTGCAGGCCAGCCATGGTGGCGGACACCTATAATCCCAGTGACTCAGGAGGCTGATGCAGGAGGATTGTTGAGTTCAAAGCCAGCATCAGCAATTTAGCAAGGCCCTAAGCAACTCAGCAAGACCCTCTCTAAACAAAATACAAAAAAGGGCTGGGGATGTGGCTCAGTGTTTAAGCACTTCTGGGTTCAATACCCAGTACAAAAGAAAATCCAGATAGATAGAAGTATATATACACCCAACAGTAAGAAATGAAAAAAGATAGCTTCTTGCCTTCATGTAGCTCATTTTGTTTTAAGGAATAGTGTTTCATAGGCATTTCTTGCATTAAATCCAAGTTACAACTTTTTGCTTGTGCAATAAATATGGAACCACAGATGTTGAATGCTGGAAGGCATCCACAAACAAAAGGACAGAGGTCAACATTTCTCATTTTACTGATATGACCCAGACAAGGGTAGAACAACTGCCCAATGTGACTTAAGAGACGGATGCGACTCCAACTACACCTCCTGGGCCTCAAGCCCAATCTCCTTTGATTGTTCCCCCATTTCTCCATGAAGGAGGTAAAATGAAAAATCAAGATCTGGAAAGAATAGGACAGACTCCCATAAATGGAAAAACATCAGTACGTCAATGGGACAAAACAAAATGACACATTGTCCCGTTTCTTTTCCAAGAGGAACTTGAAACCAGAACCTCTTGCCTTATTTTACAAACCAGCTTATAAATCCACATTCCAATGCTAATTGAACTACCTCACTTGCTTTGTCTCTAGAATTTCATCCTCTGGTGGGGAAGGAGAGTCCAAGTTTCCCCCTTAGGTGGGTATTTTTGTTAGGTGGAATACTGGGGAGCCCCCCCTCCCCTGCTAGGGGCCTTTTGTGAGGGGTAAAGTCATGCAAAGCTCCTACTCCCCTGCAGAGGGCAACCTGGGGAGAGCTTCGCCTCCTGTATCCTTTTCTTGGGTCCCTCTAGGAACTCCAACTAGAATAGGAAAAGTACTAAGAGACCCTTCCCTTGTAGAAGTGCTAGTAGGAGGGATGTTGAGATCCAAAGGAAAGGGACCAAGGCCCTGTCTAGAGTCTAGGTCATGGATTCTCAAATTACACCACCACAGATCTAGGGGAATAGGAAGCTTGGGGTACATACAATGGTATAGGATAACCCTGGCACAATTTCTGAGGACATGATCTTATTCAAATGTTTTTTTAGGATGGTAGTTTCTAGTTTCATTATACTATCTAAACCAACATGGCAATAAGACTAGGTAATCACAAGAACTTATAAGCTGAATCAGGAAACTTCAGTACATAATAAAGGAACAGGAAGGAGCAGAAGGAAGTAGAATTTCATCCCACTTCTTTTCAGCTTGTAGCAGGGAAATTCAGGCTTGATACCCTTGTTAACTGGGGTATAAGTTCATGTTCCTTCATCATCAGGGAGACTTTGGTGAGGAAGTATGGGAGGTATTGACTCCAGTAAAAAGACTCTTGGTGGTCCATGGGAGTGCAGGTCCAGCTCAGGATACACCTAGGTGGTTCCAAGCTCAAAGCCCTATGAAGTAATAAAGAATATACACCTGCCTGACCCTGCCTCCTGTCCCACACTTTCAAAGGGCCAAGTGGGGCCTAAGCTAACTGGTGGATTGAGGGATAGAGGGTTTCCAACTGTCCTCCTTAGAAACAACAAACGTGATTAGAAATCACCTTGCTACCTGTGAGATTTTCAGGCAAATATTTTATAAATTTACACTTATGGGCTGGGGTTGTAGCTCAGTGGCAGAGCACTCACCTGGCATGTGTGAGGCAATGGGTTTGATCCTCAGCACCACATAAAAATGAACAAATAAAATAAAGGTATTGTGTATATCTACAACTAAAAAATTATATTTTTAAAAAATTTACACTTATGAGGCTAAAAATTTGAAAATGTAATACTTACTGTGTTTTTTTGAGTTACCATATCCTGAAAAGAAAAACAAAAGATGAACATAGTTTTTCTAAACAGTTAATTTTCATAAGCATTGGTCAATATTCCCCACATCATATAGTGCCCACCTTAAAACAAGAATTAATCATTTGAATCCCCACCATCTGAAAGCTTCAAATAGAATGAACCTCTGATAATCAAAAAATTCACATTCTATGGAAAACTAATCATAATTGTTTAGCTTTGGAAGTACTGGAGGGCATTTCTGCTTATGATGGTTTTCCCATATCAGTGATAATACTTTTGTCCAAAAGATTTATTTTACTTTTTGTAGTTGTAGGTGAACAACATGTCTTTATTTTATTTGTTTATTTTTGTGTGGTGCTAAGGATCCAACCCAGTGCCTCACATGTACTAGGCAAATGCTCTGCCACTGAGCTAAAGCTCTAGCCCCCCAAAAGATATTTTGAGACTCATATTTGGGGCACTGAGTGCCCTGCATCCCACCTTCCCAGAGAAGAATGACAGTGACAGTAAGAAAGCACTTGGGAAACACTGTGCCATCCTGGGGTTTGACAATGCAAAGGCTGTAGAAACACCATGGTCACCCTTCCTACAGAAAGAGTACTACTGGAAGTATTCCTGACACCCTATTAGAACTGTCTAGGCAGGTTCAAATTCATGTCCATTTTAGCCAGTTAACAACAGGATGGTTATGCAGACCTTGAGTATATATCATTTATATGCTAGAAACCAACATTTCTGCAAGAGAAAACATAATTAAATATCTGCCCTGTAAAACATGTTTTATATAATCAGAGAATCTTTTTTTTAAGCGATGGGGGTCAAACCCAGGGCCTCACACATGCTAGGCAAGCACTGTGCCACTGAGCCACATCCCTAGCCCAAGATTTCTATTTTTGATAAGAAGTTCAGATTGCTTCCTCTGGTATTAGATATAAATGACTAACTACCCATTTCCATCGTAGGAAATATTTGTCTGATTCGTTAAAAATTAAAAATTTTCAATCTCTAGCCCTGTAAAATAATTTTAAAATTATCTAGATCATAGAACTTTCCAGAGGGCTTTTCTAAAGCACAGCTGAGGAAAAATGTATTGAATTAGGAAAAAATGTTAAAATTTCATGTTTCCCATCAAAGTATAGATTAATAATCTATATACTTTCATATTTTCTAAATTCTAAGTATTCTAAATACTTCTAAGCACAGTGAAAAATCAGTAAAAGCAGCAGTTAATATCTAAAACTCTAAAGTTATTTAGGTTGGCTAATAGACTTTAAATATGTTTCTAAACTGTAGAAACTATTCTACAACATAAAGCACACTGATAAAAGTTTCTTTTTTTCACTGTCATACAAATGACTTCTTCAAATACACTATGTGCTATAACTACAGAGCACCTATCTACGTAAAATGCATGTGAGGTTTAACACATACAGATTATACATCGGAAGCAGGTGGTGTTTCTATCAGGAAATAATCTCAAACCAATATAGAACCCAGAAAAATTTGGTTAATATTAAATAACAAGAAACACATACACATACATACACACACACACACACACACACAGCCCAAGTATGGCATAAAATTGTCTTGTTACAGTACTGAGGGAGTTGGTCACTTAAAAAGGATGTCTGTAAAGGCCAATCTCTAAACCCACTAGTTCTCATACCTGATTGCACATTTGGGAGGTTTAAAAAAGTCCCATGCCTGTGCAGCACACCCCAGAGATTGTGACGTGATTGTTTGGGGTGTGGCCTGGCTCCTGGGATACTTACAAGCTCTCTAGGTAATTCTAAAGTGCAATCAAGGTTGAGAAACAGTGCTGTAAACAAACTATTAATTTTTAAATGATTTAACATAAAGCAGGGTTTTCTAAGATATTCAACAATATTAGCAGAATTTTAGAATAACGCACATCAGACATTTATATTTTGCAAATATAAGCATTTAAAAATGTTCTATATGGGCTGGGACTGTAGCTCAGTGGTAAAGCACCCACCTTGCATGTGTGAGGCACTGGGTTCGATCCTCAGCACCACGTAAATAATAAATAAAGATATTTTTAAAATGTTCTATATTATCAAAAAATGTTTGTTTCAATCTTGCCAAAATACATTTCAGAAATTCTCAATATTACTGAATTGTATAGGAATACACTTGTTTTCAGTTTTGCTATGTTTTCAGATTAGAGTATAATAACAAATTAAATGCCGATTATATCTATGGTAAAATTTTCTGCTTATTTTGGTAACTGTTAAATATATCCCTGTCATTATCCAAGTCAAGAACTAATTTTTATAACATGTAAGTTTGGATCAAATTGTCCACAAAGGGATTCAGAGTAGTGTGTTTGTGTCACACTACTTTTTCTCTAATGAGCCTGGAAGTGCTTAGGTTGCCTGCAAAAGCATAATGTAGCAACGATGCTCACAGAGCAGCCAGAAATTTATATGTGTGAGGTAGAACCAGTGGTAGGAAAAAAGGTATTGCAAAAGCAATTTTTATTACTTTCTCACATATAATTCCTGTGCTATGTTACATTTCAGCTTGACATAAAATTCTGCTTTCCCAAAATGATGCACTCAGAGGAAGGTGAACAATGTTCTTTACCTTCAGTGACAGTGCTGTGTCGGCATCGGTATCATGGTACAGGATCACATTATTGGCCATGTCAAAGCTTTCACGGACTCCAAGATGGTAGAAGAGGGAAGGCTGTCTGGAGAAGTCACTCATGTCTACAAAAGCAACATCTGAAATGAACAAGAGAGGGATGGGAGTGAGAGGACAGATGATCTGTCTACTTAATCTACTTGTTACTGATAACTAACAGGGAGCCATGGCAATTTGTATTTCTACCATTAACCTTTTAGGTAGAGTTGGGGAATGATTTGATTTCACTTAACCCATGAACTGTGGAAGAAAAGAAGTAAGAATTTTTAAAAAAACAACAAAAACCCTCTTCCTTTTTTAAAGTGATAGGAATATAGTCTCAAAATCAGCTAATGAATTTATCTTTAATGTCATTCTTATGAAATATATATCAAATATAGTTTGCCTATTTATGAAGCATATTGTATAATGAAATGAAAACCCAGGTAAGCCCAAGTCATTACATATACACTTCCCTGATCACATCTCCTCCCTCTTGCCCAGAGGAGATCTCTATCCTCATTTCTGGATTTATCATTTCCCTGCACATGTGTTTGTGTGCATACTATAGACCAAATGTTTGTGTCCCCCTCTAAATTTGTATGTGGTAATCTAATCCCCAATATGATAATATTTGGAGATGGTGCCTTTGGGAAGAACTCTCATGAATAGGTTTAATGTTCTTATAAGAGGCCCCAGAGAGTTGACTTGTCCCTTCTGCCATGTGAGAACACAGTGAGAAGATCCAGGCTATGAACCAGCAAGTGGGCTCTCATCAGACAGTGGATTTGATGGTACCTTGATCTTAGACCTCCCAGCCTCCAGAATTATGAGAAGTAAAATTCTGTTGTTTATAGGCCATTCAGGCTATGGTATTCAGTTATAGCAGTCTGAACAGGCTAAGACAGTATGTAAAGACATGTATGGGCATATTCTATTTATGAACTCCTAAATAATATGTTGTTCATCTGTGCATGTCTTTAAATTTTATATAAATAGTACCTTTTGTATTTTCTTTCACTTGCTATTTATTTATTTATTTTGTATTTGTAGTTGGACACAATACTTTTATTTTTTTTTAATTTATTTTTATGTGGTGCTGAGGATCAAACCCAGGGCCTTGCACATGCGAGGTGAGTGCTCTACCTCTGAGCCACAACCCCAACCCCTTGACTTGCTATTTTTTTAAAGCAATCTTTTTAAAGGTTTAACGTGTTTCAGGATAGGTGTATTTTCTGTGTGTGGGGGGGGTGCTAAGGATTGAACCCAGGGCCTCATGTGTGGTAGGTGAGTACTGTATCCACTGAGCTACACTCCCAGCCCTGACTTGCTACTTTTTGATGTGATTCAACCAACTTGTTCATCTAGCTCCAGTTCCTTCAGTTTCACTTCTATATAGCTTTCCATTGAATCACAATTAGATCACAATTTTTTATCCATCCTATCTGGAGATTTTATTCATTTTTATTTTTCTATGTCCAGATGCTACAATAAACATTTCTGTGCCATAGCTCCTCATTCACATATCCATCATCAACTTGACAATATAAAATGCCTCCTAAAGTTGTGTCCTGTCATGAAAACTTATTCAAAAAGGAGCAAATTATTGTATCAATCACAAACATTTAAATTTGCTTAGTAGTATTAGACACCATTTCAAAATTTGTAATTTTTTGAGATGATGCAAGAGCTCCAAATTTCATGGGAGGTTCCCCCACTATGTGCACTAGAGATACAGAAATATAATGTCCAAACTTCTGCTCACATTACTGTGACTTACAGCAAGTCAATGAAAATTCTGATGAAATGGAATAGAGGTGAGTTGTGGGTGTCAAGTGTATGAGTGTGAGGAAACAAGAAGGTAGGGAGAGGGCTGGGGTTGTGGCTCAGTGGTGGAGCGCTCGCCTAGCACATGCAAGGCCCAGGGTTTGATCCTCAGCACCACATAGAAATGAATAAATAAGGGCTGGGGATGTGGCTCAAGCAGTAGCACACTTGCCTGGCATGCGTGCAGCCCGGGTTCAATCCTCAGCACCACATATAAACAAAGATGTTGTGTCCGCCGAAAACTAAAAAAAAATAAATATTAAAAAAATTCTCTCTCTTTCTCTCTCTCTTTAAAAAAAAGAAATGAATGAATAAAATAAAGGTATTGTGTCCAACTACAACTGAAAAATAAATATTAAAAAAAAAGAAGGTAGGTAGAAGCCACATCAGCACCAGGCTCCACAGGTTCTGCAGAGACACTGGGAGACTTGAGGCCAAGTGTCACCAATTGACACTTTTATTCTTATATATGGATTGCCTACTATATACCAGGCATTGTGCTGGGTACCAAGGATAGAAGTGTGAATGGGGCATAATCCTTTTCTTAAAAAAAAAAAGTACAGTACTATGCAGGGAACTAGAAGGAAGTGCACACAGAGCTACTGTGAAGGGGGCTAAAGTGAAGGAAACTGGGAGAGAGGAACTCTCAGGAGGGTGCCTAACCACTCAAGCACGGAGAGCAGTCAGAGAAAGTCTGGAGGAAGTGATGCTGTCTGTGGCCAGAGGATCTATAAGAGTTAGGAAGGTAAATGAGGGCAGAATGGAGGAATGGAAAGGGAAGGAAAGAATGCTGTAGAAAGACAAGCAAGTGCAAAAGGTCAGAGACAAGTTAGGTTGTGAATGTTCATTTCCTGGCCAGAACACCCTAGGAGATGAATCTGGGCTAGCAAGTACCAACTGGCAAAGGGGCCTTCCAAGCATGTTAAGAGGGCTCTACCTTGAGGCAGTGGAAAACAATGGTAGGTTGGTTTTTTTTTTTTTAATGGAGAACTACAAATATATATAAAAGTTGACAGAAGAGTAGGAAACCCACATAAGAGTCCCTCACCCTCAACAATTATCATCTCATGATAAGCTCTGTTATAACTCCAGTGCTATCCATATCACCCCCTTCCATATTATTTTGAAGCAAATACCAGTTACCATATCCTTTTATTCCCAAATATTTTAGGATGCATTGCTAAAATATGAGAACTCAGAGAATAAAATAGTCATAGTATCCATGCCTCACCCAAAACTATTTTTTAAATGATCAAGAGAAGTTTTAAACAGCAGACAATCACATTCAAATTCACCCTTTAGAGGTTGTTGCTAATGATAGGACAAATGCATATGCTGAGGAAACACTTGACAAGACAGCTCGGCTAATTTATCTCAAATGGATAATTCTGCTCCCCACAGAGGTTTGCTCAGAGTCAAAAATAACACTGCAGCTGAGTAAATTAGACATTCTGCCTATATGATTGTTCCCTGGACTCCATTACCTACTCAAAATTAAAAATGAAGAATTTAATACTGATGCTATTTTAAAAGTGGCAACATAAGATACCAATTCCAAGGCCACAATGATTGCTATCTTTAGTTAATAAAGGAGAGGAAACAAAGGAAAGTGGTAGGGAAGGGCAGAGTGCAGGGTCGCAGGACAGCAGCCTCCAACTCCCATAGACTTATAGGCAGTCTGGAGCTTGGTGGAGTAGCTTTTTGCCAAGTAAATTAAGTTTTTATCTGGCAACACAAAAAACCTTCCTCTTTATGCCTTCTCAACATTCTATGCTGGGACCTGTAGTACCTCCAGACCTGTACTTCTAGGACCTCTCTACCTCCAGAAGTTCTTCTATGTCTCCACTCCAGAGGTAGTGACTTTCCAGTGCCAATTAAAATAGGTCAATGCTGCTACTTAAAATAAAAAGTCAGAACAATTCATGTTCAATAGGAAAACTGTCTCAAATTTAACAATTTTTTTTGCTTGACATTTGTCACACAGGCTACTAGCATGAATTGATTTTAAGCAATTTATTTATTTACTTACTTACTTACTTACTTACTTATTTTTATTTAATTTTTGTAGTTGTAGTTGGACACAGTGTATTTATTTTTATGTGGTGTTGGGGATCGGACCCAGGGCCTCACCTGTGCTAGGCAAGCGCTCTACCGCTGAGCCACAAACCAAGCCCTATTTTAAGCAATTTATATCCAGACAATATTCAACTGGCTTGCTTTTAGAATTTCTAAGACACTAATTTAACAGTGGTCTGAATTTTTTTTAATCATATATAAAGCTTCCAGGTTTGTTTTCCTAAAGAGACTACCAATTCATTCAAAGCTTTAATGATCACAATGGTCACATGGTCTGTCATTTACTAAATCCTTCCAAACACCTCAGGTGAATTTCAAAAGCACCTCACTGAGAGGCAGGCAGGGCAAATACTGGCTTCATTTTGCAGGTGGGCAAATTAAATGCAAACTGGTTAACAGACTTGCTCAAGTTCACTCAGCTAGGACAGGACTCAAATTCACTTTTCTGACCCCAAGTCCTATTCTCCCCAGTGCATGGATAAGACTTACTGCTATCCTGACTCACTTTCTAAAAATCAAGCCACTGAGGAGGAAGACAATGGATATATCAGGCTAAATACTAGGCAAAAGATCACAGATTAAAAGGAAGAGATAAAATTCAGATATTCATTCCCAAATATACCCTATGTTCCTAGCAGTCATTACTTTCCAGTTAGTTCCCAGTGATATAGGCCAGCCTTGGCAAAGAAGCCTGCATAGTATAATCCAGCTTCCTTTTTTTTTTTTTTTTAAGAGAGAGAGAATTTCAACATTTTTTTTTTTTTTTTTTAGTTATCGGCGGACACAACATCTTTGCTTGTATGTGGTGCTGAGGATCGAACCCRGGCCGCACGCATGCCAGGCGAGCGCGCTACCGCTTGAGCCACATCCCCAGCCCAACCCAGCTTCCTTGATCATGAGGCAGGCATGAACACATCCCTATCTACCAAGGTTTAACACACTTTAAAAAGTGATATATCATGGGGGACTACAAAAAGCCAAGTCCAGTAAAAAGTACACTTTAGCTGGAAAGCATTTAAATTTTACGCTGAAGCACCCCTCAATTTATCAATTATAATCATGTCAAAACATGTTAATATAAATTAAGATCAAATATATATGGGCTTTTAGTTCATTCAAATTTGGGGGGCTTGGGGTTAGCTCAACTCACTTGCCTAGCATGCATGAGTCTCTGGATTCAAACCCCAGCACCATGCAA